ACCAACTCCCAGGGCGGCTCCTCGCTCCGCCCCTGCCCCTGCCCGGGCTGCTCAACGGAGCGCGGGGCTGGGCGCCGCGGAACCCGGGGGTGGGAGGGGGGAACCGGGGCTGCGACCCCCGTCCCGGCCCCGATGACCCGAGACACGCCCCCCCCCGCGGCCGGGCCCCCTCGCCCCGCCCCCTCACCATCTCCTCGTGCCCGGGCCCGTCGGGCTGGCTGCCCCCGGGGGCGGCGGGGCCCGGGCTGGCCCTTCCCTCCGGCGTCTTCCTCTCGCTCGGCCCCTTCCCGCGCGCCGGGCGCCGCCGCCGGGCCCACAGGTAGAGCGCGCCGGCCCCGAGCAGCAGCGGCGCCCCCAGCGCCAGGGCCACCTGCCAGCGCGGCAGCCCCGAGCCGGAGCCGCCGCCGCCACCTCCCCCCGCCACAGCAGCGGCCTCCACGGGCTTCGAGGCGGCCATGATCCCCGCTCCGCTCGCAGCGCCAGCCGGGGGGAGGGTGGAGGGAGCAGAGAGAGGGGTCACCGGAAACCCGCGGCATGCCGGGAAGGGGTCAGGGGGAAGCACTTCCATGCGCCGCGCGGCCGGGTTCGCCGCAGACAAGGGGCGGCGGCGCCACCTGCCGACGGAGTGGGGTACGTGCAGTGCCAGCCCCTTCCCCCAGGCTCAGACACAGACGCGTCGGCGCCACCTGCCGGCGGAGAGGGGTAAGTGCAGTGGTTCCCCCCTAGGAGTTCAGCGGGGAGAGCAGGGAACACTCTGCTTCTACTAGCATGAGTGCATCCTACAGGGGAAGGCGGATCCTCCCCACCCCAGTTAATGCACCAGGCTAGGGTGAGGACACAGGCTGCTGGGCGTGGATGCTAATGCAGTGTGGCCAGCCCCAAGCGTTCAACAATCAGAGTCTGGCCCCCAAACTCAGGAGGTTTTCTTAAAAACAATGGGTGCTGTGCTGGGTCCCGTTTATTTGCCTTCTGTCTTTTGAGACTTTAGGGTTTGCATTTTCAAGCTACTCTGCGCAGCCCTGAGCACTAGAAATTTACTGGATTGTTGTTGTTTTTAAATGAAAGCAGAGGTTCTCCTGAAATCACATGACTCCAGGAGCTGGGGCTTTCAGGCAAATCCCAACTATCACAAGATGTGTGATAAAATCACAAGAATTGGCAACCTTGTGCAATGAGACTTCAGTTGTATTGGGATAGATCCTGAAAGGTGGTGAGCCATTCCCGTAGAGGATGGAAACTGACTTTTTTCTTAAATAAAAGCTGTGATTCTCCTGTATTTATATAACATTATATAACTCAGAGGTTCAGCCCTAATTTACGTCACCGGTGTGAGGTCCATCAGGGACTAGACACCATTGAAGAATCAGATGTCTGAGAGCTCTACTCTGCCATGCCCTCTCCCCAGCCCCAATTACAACCAGCCGTGCCACACCCCTCCTTCTTCTTATGGCTGGTCCATGGCTGACATAGGAGACAGTTCTGGCATCTCCACCAGCTTTACACTAGCAGATAGTTCCCTAGCTCATGAGGGAATTCTCCACTGGCTTTGCCAGCCATTTTATGGCAACTTTGCACTGTTTACCTAGCAGAAAGATGTTTTAGCAAACTGGAGAAGCTGGCTCTCCAGTTTGTGCTGAGAGAAATCACTTACAAAAATTGTTCCTAGCTTTTCAGCAGCCCCTTCCTCAACTATTTCCTATCTCCAAACAACAGAAAGAGAAGGAAAATTAATCACTGCAGCTATTTTTTTGCATGGCACCTTCTGTGACATACTGTATGCCATGTTACCCCCTGTACCCACCTATTCAACACTGTTATATGATTATGATATGTTTTGTACAAAATATGCCTTGTGAGGTATCATTTGGAAAGTTATAATCTGTTGAGTGTTACTATCCTGTTGAAATGCATGTATCCTCTTTGTATATGTAGTTATGAGATTTTGCTTTATATGTTGGTTACTGAAATAGGTTGAGAGTCTGGGAAATGCTCACAAATTAGCTCCTCAGAGATAACAAAAGAGTGACCAACACGCAGCCAGGTGTTAAGCGACCATCACCAGCTATTCTTGAGCAGGGGAGTTTAAACAAAGACAGTTGCTCGAGCATGTACACTATCGGGGCAGTCTAATCCCATGACACAGCATAGATTTTTCTAGCACCTGGAGAAAATGAGGGACAGTGATATCACCACGGGGCTGCTTTCTCCTCCCCCATCTCTACACCTGGAAGTAAGATTGTTTGGAAGACAAAGAGAAGTCTCTTTGAACTGGGTGGAAGGGATGGACCTAACTAGAAAGCTGTCTAGTTAATATGAACTGTGAACTGAAAACTGCCTGCAACATCCAGTAGGGTGAGAAAAACTGTTTGATTGAAATCTTGCTTAGCCTGATAAAGTTTAGGATTTAGAATGCATGTTTATTTTTTATTTCTTATGTAACCAAGTCTGACCTTTATGCCTACCACTGATAATCACTTAAAATCTATCTATCTTTAGTTAATAAACTTATTTTGAGGTTTAATCTAAACTAGTGAGTTTGTTTAAAGCAGGGGTTCTCAAACTGGGGGTTGGGACCCCTGAGGGGGTCATGAGGTTATTATGTGGGGGGTCGCGAGCTGTCAGCCTCCACCCCAAAGCCCGCTTTGCCTCCAGTATTTATAATGGTGTTAAATATATAAAAAGGTGTTTTCAATTTAAAAGGGGGTCGCACTAAAAGGCTTGCTGTGTGATAGGGGTCACCAGTACAAAAGTTTGAGAATCAGTGGTTTAAAGTGCTTGGGGGATCTGCCCAGATTACAGAAGCTGGGGCATGTCCAGTACCCTTGAAGGAGTGGCAAACTAATAAATGGGCTTACATTGATCAAGAAGGTCTTGAGCTGTGTAAGATGCACATTTCTGGGGTGTAAGGCTGGGGTTGGGGGAATTTGCTGGTGTCTCCCTATATACAGTTCATGTGGCTTGGGAGAGCCTTCATGCAATTTAGGTGGGTGTGCCTCTGCATGCTGATGGCTGAGTGAACAGAGCCTGGAGGGGTTTGTAGTTCACTGGCATAGCAATGTAAGAGACAGTCTGGGCAGGAGAGTTAAAGGGGACACGGGTTCTACAGTCTGGATTGCACGCCGGGGCATGTCACACCTTCCCCTGAGAAAGGTGCCATTGGTGCTGCCATTGACTTGAAAGGAGCACTCACCTGAAAAGAAAAGTTTGCTGGTGATGCTGTTGATTCTGCATGTTCAATGAAAGAACTCAGTGGAGGGAGAAAAGGGGGTTTGATTGTTACCGCTTCTTTCTTGTCTAAAACATTCAATGGAGGAAGAAAAACCTTTGTGGTCGAGGAGCAGGAGGAAAAGGAGGAAGAAGCTTCCTTGTCTGGAGCTCTTAATGGAGGGAGGGGAGCAGATGCCATAGATGATAATGATGCTGGTGATTGCTTGCTTGACTCTCTCAGGGGTGGGAGATGACCATTGGACATGGATGATGATGGTACTTGCCTGCTTGGAGGTCTGACTGGAGGGAGTGGAAAGTTTGCCATTGCTGCCTCCGCTTGCTCACCTGGAGCACTCACCTAAGGGCAAATAGGAAAGTTTGCTCTGTTATTATTTTTTGCTCAGCTGTACTAAGCATTTTGCACCCTGCAGGTAACTTGTTGGCTTTCTTTATAGGTGGGAGAGAAATGAGCTATTTAAAGAACTTTGATCATTATTCCAAATAAAAGTGCCAATGATTACAAAGATCAAAGACTGTTAAGATTGCAGAGTAAAACGCTTGAAAGTCAGGTGATACCAAAATGAAGGTTGCACATGCAACTGTTATTCTGCCCCATTGTGCTGATGTGTTATGACACTTATCGACATGATCACCATGACAGGGTATTACCCCTCTCTGTTTTTTCCCTGACCAGGCTGCATTAACCATTGTTTCTTTTCTTCTCCATTCTTTTCTTTTCTACCAAAATGTTGGCCAACATACTCGTGCTCTGTCTTTCCCTTAGTGATTCTGTAGACAAGAAAACTGGCTGGACTCTCACTGAAAAGGAGTCCGTTCCCCTTTAGAAGCTGGCACTAAACACCTTGAACCAAGTATGCACTGGCATATAGCCATAAAAACAATATTAGTTGCCAACTCATGGTGTGCTTGAGCAGCACAGAATTCGCCCCTTACCTCCTCGCTCCCCAGTACACACAGAGAGATCCCTGTGGTAGGCAGAGAAGGATTTAGACTGATTTCTCCCTCCTCATAATGAGAAAAGCATATGCCTGAGACAGAGATGCCAAGGGCTGGCTGTCCTTAAGAGAGAGATTTACAGCCCCAAAGAGTGAGATTCAAGGCCAGAGAGTGAGACTTTCCAGGTGGTGTGTTAGGTCATTGCTTAAGACAGGGACTCTCATCTTTGGTCCTTGGTGACATCCAGTAGTCCAGGTTTTTAATCCAACCAGCACTTAATAGTTTGTTTTAAAATGTACACTGCTTAATATTGCATATAAAACACTTAAATGTCCTAGTTCATATTAGTCTAGACTCTAGAGCACATGAGAATTCTATATGCAATGCAAACCAGTGGATTTTAATAAAAATAATGATTCGCTGGTTGGAGCAAAAACCTGGATGGTTGGAGATCTCTGAGGACCAGAATTAATAACCCCTGGTTTAGGAACAAAGTCAGTGGACAGAACAAGAGATATATTAAAAAATAAACTGTTTTTATGTAAACCTAACAAAAAAGAAAACCTTATTTTGCATATCACCTTGTCTTAGTGATCATCCATTTGGAAAACACTTTACAGTACAAATATTATTTGGTTTATATATTATTGCTCATATTATATTTATAGGAAACTAAAATAATCAGATTCCAAAATAAATTAATTAAAATAAAACATGACCAAACAATACATTAAATTAATGTAAAAATAAATAAAACAATTAAATTGAATTTAATTAATTTGAAGCTAACAAACCATAGAAAAATTCCACATTTCTTTTAATATCTAATTTGGTTTTGCGTTTTATTCATGTGCTTTGTTATATTGCATGTGGCCTCCTTTGCTATTTTATAATTTCTTTTGGTAGCTCAAACTTGAAACGTGGCTCAGGATTTACTTGGATAATAGCTTTACTTGGATAATAGAGGACAGTATCCCATCTAGTTCAAGATTTGGTCTGAATGGTGTCTTATTCTTTTGAACAAGACTGAACACATTCCCCATTCCCGCATTTGAGTGGGGTAAAATTAAGATGTCTAGCAACCCTGGACAGTAATGGGAAATTGAGAAGACCACAAGTGTTTTTGACATTTCTAAGATATGTCCATACAGTGTCCATCCTGTATTGCACAGTAGTATTATCTGGGTCAGTCTGTAGTGCTGCCTCATCCCATACACCAGTGGTCTCCAACCTTTTAACGCACAAGATCACTTTTTGAATTTAAGATCAACTCAGGATCTACCCTGCCCCTTCCCTGAGGACCCGCCC